CTCGAGGAGCCCGGGATCACCCGGTGAGGGGGGTGGTGCAGTCAAGGGAGGTGCACGTGTAATACTCAGTCACTGGCATTAATAGGGAAAGCGCTGCGAAAATGGACTAAAGTATGTGAGGCAACACAGTAGGTTTTAGGTTTCTGGCATTTCAGCCTGTGGAGAATTTCTATCTGAAATATGCTGATCGGAGGCCCGCGCCCTCTCCCCCGCCTGTTCCCCGGTTATCTTTTTAAAAGCTGTTCTGTAGAATCGGGGTAAACCATTAATAATGTCATAATCTAGAGTTCTTTGTATCTCTGTGATTTGTCGATGCCGACACCATATATCCTCTACAATCAAGAGTGTGCCGAAAGGCACTGAGTTAATCTTTCACACTTTAAAACAAACAAACAAACAAACAAACAAAAGCCGTTTAGTGGTCCCTGTGTTTCCTTACATTATCAAAAATATCATTTGGCAATAGCAACACTTAGCTTTCTCCTCCCAAAAGGCAGCCCTAATTATGAACCCCACATTCTTGTTTCTTTAAGAGGGCTGAGGATGGGCTATGTTAGACCTCTAGTATTAAGCTGAACAACCAGTTACAGGTCTAAAAACTCCTTCTATCCAGAATCTAAAACAGATTAGGCAGATAAGGCAGATTAATAGGCGTTGACCATTCTCAAAAAGTAGAGTTAGGCTTTCAACAGTCTGTGGCATTTTTAAAAGTCTGGGTTTGTTGATTTTCAAGTGCTAACTAGACAGAGTGTTTCTACATGACTCAAATACCTTATTGGTATTGTTAAAGTTATTTTTTCCAAAGCACTTATCTGCAGGCTATCTAGAATAGTAAAAACGACTGGTTTTTTTTTTGCTGCCACACAGAACAGGTTAGACAGCCATGCCCAGAATGCATTCCAAACACATCTGATTAACGAACAACAGTCAAAGTCCCTGCAGCAAAGGCCCCTCCTCCACCTTTTCTAATGCAGACAGCCCAGGGCATGCTCTCCTCCGGGCAACTGTAGGGAGACCAGCCATCCTTAAAAACAGAAAGCTAACCACCTATTGGGTGGACTGATGAAAAAATCAGGTTTCTGGTTTATTCGCTAAATCAAAAAACCATGAGGGAGCGGAGAACAACTCCGACACACCCAGCTCCATAGGTCCGTCGGGTGCAGGGGAGGACATTTTTCTCAACTCTACTGACAAATGCCACCTGCCACCTGCCACCTGAATGGAGAAAACGTAAGAGGGCCTGTCCGATCTGTTACCATCTTGAGGACTCTTGAAAGCGAGAAGGCAAACCCAAATTCCCAAAATGTTTTGTAAGCGGGGATCACCAAAGCCAGTTTTACTCCAGCCTTACAGGGAGACTGCTCAGTTTCCACGGGCCTTTTGAGTAGGCATCTGGGAAGGCGGGGAGCAGGCTGGCTGAGCCCGGCCCTGACCAAAGGTGTTCCTTAGGGAAGCCAGAGGAGAATCCAGTTCTAACCCATCCCGAGACCCACACAGACGAGGCCAACACAGACCTGGGGGGTGGTGGTGGATCTGACTCTCCTGCCCTCTCTCAGGACAGAGTCTAAAGAAGGACTACTCTCAGTCCAATGAATGGCATCAGAACTAAGCCAGGGGCCCGGGATTTCAGTGCCATGGACGGCAGGGCCCAGGCCCTCGGCCTCTGGGTGTGTCCTGGGCTGATACCTGCCATCCCAGGAGAGAAACTCCACTTGCAAATGCCCACCCAGCCACCATGCCCTCCCTCCTCTAAAGCAGGACTTCCTGCCATTTCAACACAAAGGTGGCCTCACAAGAGCATTTAAATCCCTCGTGTGGATGGTGACTGACAAAACATTTAATTCCACAACATGCAGCACGCACTCCAGGTGCGGGTGAAATTTGGCACGAAGACAAACTTCCGTTACATTCACCATGATCCCCGGAGTCATATCTGTTATTGTTATTCACCTAAAGACAGGTGTCTGGCGAGTTCAACGAGCAGCAGAGTGAAATACGAGCCCATCCTCTCCATAATTGCACTTAATCTGAGGTCACCGGGAATCATTATTAAGTCTTATTAAAGGACAAAACCCAAGCCCAAACCTGGCTGTGTAACGTGTTTCCTCCTCGTTCGGGAAGAACAGTAGTTCTCTGCTTTGGGCAGAGGAGCCTAGAATCTTCTTGTGGGTCCAGCACATGAGAAGAGCAGTGTCCATATCTGCCACGAAGCACAACTGCTCACTTCAACACCTGCATCTCTAACATCTGCTCAGTGTCTAAGAATTTTCTCTTCTGCCTCAGCCTGGATTTTTAACCTGGGTGAATGAACCTTTCACTTCCCACACCCAAGGGACAGTGGACAGGGACCACTCTCCATTCTACGGCCATGTGCTCAAGACTCAAAACCTGTCCAAGTCTGTCTGCCTGAGGTCAAGCGTGTCCTCAAGCAGAAGCCCCCCGGACATAAATAGGAGAGAGGAGGCAGTGAGCTCAGCCCCATGACTTTGGAGCCAAGAAGGATGGGGCGAGGAAGCCTCTTTCGAGGCAGTCTTTGGCACGGAAGTCTCCAAGTCACTTCTCACAGGGAATCACCTTTGTGCCCACCAAAAGGAAGGGGCAGATGCCCGGGGCTGTGGAGCCTCGGGGGCTGAGGGAGCCTCCCTCACGGCCTACCGTGCATTCTGTCTGGGCCAGCCTCCTCACCTCATTGGACGCCAGCCTGAAGAGGAAGGGGCGAGGGTCCCTTCTCGGAGAAAGCGCATCTCTCCAGGGAAGTCTGTAACATGCGCTGGTTCACCCAGCACTGCTGTCAATGCTCCTGCTCTCCTTGGTGTCTTAAAGCACAGAAACATCACATGGGGCACAAAGAGAGAAAGATAAACCCCGAGATGCCAGATTCCCCTCTGAGCCCATCTTCTGCCTCCAATAATGTGTGGAATGACTGCGTCCCCCCCACTCCCTTCCCGTGTGTCCCAGTGAGGAACCCGATGACTTTTTTGAAGGGTTGCCTTCCTTCCCAACTACCCTTTACACAGGAATGCTCCCAGGCACTGGCAACTAGCAGCAGGCGAGGTTCTGGTCTTCCTGTAACTCTTCCCACAGTTCTTTCCAAGCACTCGTTACACTGGACGACATTTTTAAAGCACACATTCCACAAGGCAAGGCTTTGCGCGTTCCTGCTGATGAGCACTTGCTGCTAAGGTCAGTCTAGTGCCTTCCACGAAATATCGATAGCGGGCCATCGACCCACTATTAGATACACAACCCTGTTCTACCAGCAAACTGTCAGGTCGGACCCAGATGTCCAGACCCGCACCAACGGGATGGCGCAGAGGTAGCATGAAACACGGACTCGCCACTCAGGGTAGCTGGACTGTCCTTACCCTTCTGCTTCGAGGGATCATTTCTAATTGTGCCAAGATGAAAATCCTGAGCTGCAGGATCCTGGAATGGCATGAGTGGGTCTGACGGTGCAGGCCAGTACCAAATGATAACAAAACTTCTAATTTAAACTGTGACTTATTCAAACACGATGAAACAGAACCAAGCGGTTCTGTGCTCTTCTACCGCCGTGCCACTGACATCACGGCGGCGGCCGCCCGGGGTCAGCGCCGCAGGTGGACGCGGGATGGAGCGATTTCGACTCGCCGCGCGGTGCCCCGTATCTGCGGGTTAACTTGTGTCTGCGCCTGCGTCTCGGCACAGCTCGCTTCACTACAAACAGACTACTGCCTCTTTGAGGCTCGGCTTTATCATTTCGGAGGGGATGAGCCACAGATGGAAGGACACAACGTGACCTAGGTAGCCTCATTTCAGGAGGAAACAAAATGAGTTGGAAGACAGATCCTCTTTTGTCTGCTTTGCGTTGATTTGCGAAGCAAGCAAACCTGGTCGTGGTTCGAAGTGAAGACTGGAGACGCAGCTGGCGGTCCCCAGGGGTTTGGCTGCAAACGGAGGAGATCCTAGCTTATCTAGAAGCAAAGACGTTCTCTGTTACACTTGTCATCTCCGAGGCCCATCCGGTTACTGACTTCTCTTCCTGACCGGGGAATTATCAAGGGTTAAAGCACTTCATGTAGAACATTCATGTTGAGTTTACAAAATCTCAACTGGGTCACGACAGCGTTAACAGCCTCTCAGCAAAAGTTTGCCCAAACATTCAGTGGACGCGGCAGGAAAACATTAAATGAGGAATTTTGGGTGAGGTAAAGGCAAACTGCACAGGGCAGGCGTGGGGTTGGGGCCTGGTGTGTGTCCACCGAGCCCAGCAACTGGGGAGCTACTCTGACTTCCAGACAACACGGATTCCCCACAACAGGACTAATCTCTACTCTGACAGCATTTCACAAAGGCAAAAGGAAACATTGAAGTACTTCACAGAGAAAAATGCACCGCCCCCCCCCCATTTTACAAGTTTCCAGTCTGCTGCATTCTAGTGTCAGAAACAAGTTTGGGGAGCACTGCCCCCCCTCGGCTTCCCGAGGTATCGCGTGAGGACAAGGACACTGGCTCACTCGCTCTAGCACAGATGCATACAGATGCTGAAATAAACGGTCCTGAATGAACCAGAAGCCACAAGACAGCTGTCGCTCATCACAAGCAGGCGGCGGGCCGCACGCACAGCTACAGGCCACCGTACGTTAGTTAAGGGCTTTCCACGGAGGTACCAACACCTCCTTCTAGGCTGAGACAAGTCACTGCCCCACGGAGGTCCGTTCCGCAGTCACCACATGTCCACGGACAACAGGGGCTGCCTCCTGTCCATGCCTTCCTCATGTCCTTGAAAAGCAAGACCCGGGCTCTCTTCCACCACAGGCAACTCTGCGGTTCCCCCAAACAGGAAACCGTAATGAGATGTCAGAATGTCAGCTGGGTCGTCTCGTCCCTCAGCTGCAAATCTTCTTAGCGTTCCATTTCGTAGGCTCCTTCACGCCACGGAGGTATGCTGTTTCGCGGAGAGATGATGATAGCCTCGCGGACTCCACCGAGGAATAGAAACTAATGGAAAACCACCGGTGGGCGGACGAAGGGGGTGAGGGGCGGGCAGGGAAAGAAATACACAAAGGAGAGATGCTTCTCAGTGCCGTCTCTCTGCACGACAGGGGCGTACCGGTACGCCATGCCCTGTGTAGGCAGAAGAGTCTCTGTCCCAAGAGGGGACTTACTTGGCCTCTTGTTTCTCCTGCAGTAGTGGAATGATCGACTCCCACGCCATGAGGCACTGAAATGACAACACACACACACACACACACACACACACACACACAGTTATCAACATCAGATTTCAGGATCAGGCACTTCATTCTCCTCTGATCCGTCTTATGTACTGGCTAAGTAATGTATGTACGTCACGTCCAACGTCTACATGTATTATCCATCGCTATTAGAAACTGGGGAGGTGACAGGTGTTTGAATACATCATCCCCATCTCTACCAAAGATAGCAGGATCTCGGCAAGGCCTACAGAGCACTGTCCCTGGAGCTCATTGCTGGTGAGTGGAAATGTAGTCACTGGAAGACATTCTTTTTCTTCAAAAAGCAGAAAAGGTAAGAGGCTGCAAGCCTTCCATGGGGCCCGACGTCCCCAGCCAGGTTGAAGACATTGCTCCAGGTGGTGGGTAGGACTTGCTGAGGATGCAAATCATATTGGCATGGCCCAGCCACTTGACTCAGAGGGGGCTCTGAAACCCTGCTCTTCTTTACTGACCTCAGCTTTGGTTGTATGGGCCACTCTTGGATCTCCCAAAAGGGAAAATGGGGGAGGGGGGACTCTATTTATTGAGTTTCACTGGGCCCAAACACCACGATGTATTTTACATTCACTATTGCTAGTCCTCACAATTCTATGAAGTGGAATTATTACTTATTACACACACACACTTCATAGATGGAGAAAACGAGACCCAGAGAGGTTATATAACTTGCCTAAGACACGTAACTAGTAAGTGGCCAAATTCTTTCCTCTACACCAATCCCCCTTCATTCCAGATCCTTGTGAAGGGCCAGTGTCTGAGTGCACTGAACTTAAAGACTCCAGGAGCACCCTACTTAGCGAAATGATCCTCCCTTTGAGCCATCTCTTGCCTGAAGGGCAGGCCAGAAGAACCACACAAGGCCTTCCTCAGAAGCAGCTCAGGGTGAAGCAGGACTTTGTGCTGAGTCATCTGGGGAGGAGCTCTGAGCAGGTAGGAGGAGAGAGGCATCCTTCGGTCAAGCTGGGGAGCAGCGTGGCGAAATTGCTCCACGCTTCCTTCCTTAGTGAGTCTGAGGTTAGAGAAGAAACTAGACTCGGACCCTGCCCTCCATAAGGAAGGCTGGGGAGCTTCCAGGAACTTGCTTGCAGCGAGAGAACCCCATGCAGGGTCCATGGCACATGGGCCCTGCTCTCTCCCTAGGCTATCATCTTAGATCTAGAAAGGTCCTTCTATGGCAGCGATGGGGAACCAAGGCCACACCAGATTTCTTTCCAGTCTTCAAATGCTCAAACTTCTTCCCACCCCAGGGCCCTTGCATATGTTGTTCCCTTGGCCTGGGATACTTGTTCTCCAAGTCTTTGTCTCTGAGACCCTGGTTAAATGTTATTTCCTCAGATCGGCCTCTCCTGCCCACTCCACTTGCCTCCTTCCAACCCTGATCTGAACTGTGCCCCCAGTATTTTCTTCCAAGCTTTCCTGTGCTTTCCCTGTAGAGCACGTATCTTACTCTGAAGTGACAGGATTTCTGGATTAATGCCTATCTTCCACTGCACGGAGGGCTCCTTGATGGCAGGGGTCCTGCTGTTTCATTTAGCAACCTATCCCCAGTCCCTGGTGCACGGCAGGGACACAGCAGACAATGTTAAATGTGTGTGGCAGCCAAGAGGAGGGCCCCACGACAGCGCCCCTACTTGTGGTATCTGGGAAGATACAAGCCCTGAGTTTGAGTCCTGCGGCCGGGGCCTCGGGAGTGCTGGCATTAATCACGAGGCGGTGTGATGGACACATCTGATCAGGTCGGCTTCCGTGTAGCGGGAGGGCTGTCGGACAGCAGAGGCACGGGGAGGGGATCAGGGAAGGTAGTACCACTTCCTGAGGATCTACCATGTGCCAGGTATGTTCTAGGGACTCGGGGATGCATCGTTTGACTGTGTCTTCACAATCCTCAATGAAGAAGGATCAGTCCCATTTTACAGGGGAAGAGGCAGACACAGAGAGGCACCCTGCCTAAGGCACAGCCAGTTCACACGGGAGTGACCTTTCTATCTTTGGGCAGTCGGGACTGGCCCCAGAGATGCACGTCCCCCACCCACCACACCGACAGTGTGCATGAGTGGGAATTTTCAGACTTGTGGCCCCAGCAGAACTGAGTCTGACCTTAGTTCAGTCACTCAAGCTGTGTAACCTTGGGCAGTCTTAAAACCTTACTGTGCCTCTGTTTCTTCAGCTTTACGTGGAGAACCATAAAACCTACTTCACATTGTTACACTGGGGGTTAAATTTAAGGAGGTGACATATGCACAGCATCCAGCTCTGTGCTGGCAGCCACGGCAGGGGCTCTATAAAAACGGTCCTGGGGGACGGAGGACAGCACCTTCCCTCTCTCCCTCTCAATCAGCTCTTCCGAAGGCCTGGCCAGTAAGGGCTATTCTGTGACTGTTCTCCTTAGCCCTCCTCCAAAGAAAGATGTAGACACGCTGCCTCCGAACAGCAGAAGCCTTCAGAAGATATGGATTCTTCTAGTCTGGGATGAGGATGCGTTTCTAGAACTGCAGCGGGAATAGCCGAGTTAATGCTTGTCCCACTTGGTTTCACGTCTACAGGTACTTGTGGAATTGTGACTGGGCCATGCTTCATCTCTAACTTTAAGCTTCCAAGGAATATTAGGATTTCTCAGCAGCAGCAATGATCTGGGTTTAGCTATGCCAAGAGCAAACCCTGAGTGAGAGACTTTGCTGGAGCTTGATGAGAGCCCTAAGTGGGTCTGTGGTGTGTGTGTGAGTGAGAGAGAGAGACAGAGACAGAGAAAGAGAAGGGTGCAAACCCCACAGATCAAGGGGATTCATGGGGGGGAAAAACACCTGTTTTTAATGGTTTTCCTCTGTAATCCTACATACCTTTTGGGGGACTACTTACAAACAGTGTTCTGAAGTCTTAAAAACAACCGAACGGTATTTTGATAAGGATTTGGTGGGATCTACAGCACTATGAGAGTGAGGAACCCCCGTCGACAGAACCACACAGCAGCCTGGGGTAACCTCAAAGCCCCCTTTAACTGGAACACGCCCACACGGCAGGCCCTTGGGCTCTGGGAAGCAGTTGTCTGCCAGGCCCAAAGGGCACGGGCGAGAAAAGTGCCACTTCCACGAGCGCGTGTACCGGGGAGAGCCCCGTGGGCACCGGGAGCGGGAGGGGCTCTGCTTCCAAAGTCTGCGCCCCTCCCTCGCACAGCGGGGCGAGGACCCCGCGGGGGCCGCCAGACCAGACACACAAAGTAAGGAAAGCAGGTGGGGCTGGCGGGCCCTCTGCTTCTGCATTTCTGGCCGGCCCTCGCAAAAGGCTCTGGCCATTCCTCGTGCTTCCTCCGCGAGAGGGCCGGGGTCCTGCCGGCGCGCCCCTCACCTTCTCATAGTACTGGATGTTCTTGTCGGCCATTCCCACGAGCAGCTGCCGGAAGTCCTGCCTCTTGTTGTTCTGCCATCGCTCCATGTCGGCTTTCAGATCGGCGTTGAAACACTCCATCCGATCCTGACACCTCTCAACGTCTGCAGGCACCTGGAACGGGGTGGGGGGTGCAGAAGCAGGGACTCTGGATGCGGAACTGGTGACCCCATGCCTCGAGTTCCCTTGCAAAAGGCCAAAGCCCTACATGAAAGGCCCCGAACACAGCCCCTTCTCTGGGGGCATTTACGTGAAGGCAGGGCCTTGGGTTTTCAGGTCTAAGAAGGAATTCTGAAAAGTGCTCTCCCTACCCAAATCTTCAAATCCATCCAAGCACACAGAGGCTCGCAGGGGAAACACCCCCCTGTTTACAAACAGGAAGGAGAAACACTGCAATTCAGCGTCAGAGATCTCTGGTCCCTCCTTTCTATCCATCTGTATGTAAAGACGTGTGTGGATTTTGCGAACATACAGCAGCGTTTGGCATTGTCCCTGCTGTTCTCCTCAGTCCTACATGGGAAACCAGAAAGGTTTTCCCACGTCATAGGACTATTCCATTACCTGTGGCGTTTCATAACGCCTGCCCTCATTAATCACACAATCAACTGCAATAAGAAGACTATCAGCCCCTCACTTCTCCCTCTGAACCCTACGTTACACATCAACTAGAGACCTGTCTACGCTCCCCCAGAGAGCAGATAATCAAAAATGATGAGTTTAGGTTAGGGAATTCTGAGGAAATGGGAGGAAAATCATTTATGTGTGTCAAAAGAATCTGAAATATGAAGAAGAAAAATATAGCAGACTACTTCAAGTTTTTCTTTTTTTTAAGATTTTATTTATTTATTTGACACACAGAGAGAGAGAGAGAGAGGACAGAAGCAGGGGGAGTGGCAGGCAGAAGGAGAAGCAGACTCCCCACCGAGCAAAGAGCCTGACATGGGGATCGATCCCAGGACCCTGGGATCATGACCTGAGCCAAAGGCAGATGCTTAACAGACTGAGCCACCCAGGTGCCCCTCAAGTTTTTCTTAAAGAAGTTTAGAAGGCTTTCTCAAAATGGAACTCTGTCACAGCCGGAGGGCCTTGTGGCTACCCGGGTCCTCGAAGCACAAAGCTGGCTCCTCTCCTCACTCAAGAGCTCCACGGGGACCTAAGGCTGCCCAGGGGGCAAACATACCTAAAACTGGGTCAAATGCTCACCTGCCAGATGCTTCTTGACAACAAATGAGGCCTTGTGCATTCTGAGTACCGGGGTCTATGGTCCCAAATGGCTATAAGCTGTGGGTCGCCATCAGGGGTCAATCTCTACCCACCAGGGAAGTTTTCTCCCCATGCCTTATGGGCAAAGAGAGGACCCAGAAAAATCAATAAAGGGAGGGCCAAGGCTGAGGGAGCTGGACACGTTCAGGGCTTCCTGAAGTGCCGAGGGCCCCCCAGACGGCTGCAGGACGCGGGAGCAAGGGAAGTGAGCAGCCTGGGGCTGGCGCGTCACACAGGCCTGTCATGGGATCCGAAGTTGGGTGAGGCTGGAGGAGCTCGACAGAAAGCCAGAGGGAGGCATCCTGGGCAATTTAAAAGAAAGGAACTCTCCTTCAAAGAGGGAGGAAAGCCTCTTCCAAAGCACTTAGCCTCTGGAAGAGGAAAGAAAGAGGACCTGACGTTTCCTTCTGATGCCATGACCGAAGTCACTTTTGCCTTTTCCTGCTGCCTCTCCCAGCGCTGTCGTCCAACTCGGGGGCAACTGAGGAACAGATGCACCCCCACCCGCCCCTGCCTTTGCCCCTCCAGAGCCTTCCCCACAAACGCACAGGGAACCAGCCTCCGTGGAGGCCCAGCGAGCCAGGGTCTCTGGGCCTCACTCCCCTGCAGACACAGTCCAGCTCCCTTATTCCTCTCCTGGCCACTGCTCATTTTAGCATGGGCTGAAAGTTCCTTGGAGCAGCTTCCTGTTTTCTTAACAAAACTGCTGTGGGCAGCAGGAAAAGCAAAGCCCTGAAAAGAGAACCGCATCGAGGCCCAGTGAGAAGAGCGGGGCCAGGGCCTCTGATCCAAAGGATCAACGCCCAGGTCTGTTCTGAAGGTGGGAACTCTGGTGGATCCACGAAAATTAAGAGCCCAAACCACGGCTCTGGATTTTATGATGACCTGAGCTTCCATTTAGGAAATATCAGTAACTTACCATTTTCCCACCGCACTCTGTGCTTGGCACAGAGAGAGACCGAAGGGCTTCGGTGTCAGTAAGCAGGTCTTACCTCAGGTTGCCTACAGTCTAGCTGGGAAGGCCATGAAGACACCTGCACACTCTGGCGGGGGGGGGGGGGTCGCGGTGCTTTCCCTTCACTCTGAGCCCCGTGGTAAGCACAAGGAGGGGGAGGGAGCTGGAGAGTGAGTCCAGCCTGGATGAGGGATCAGGCCTCCTTGGAGAAATACCACTGAGGCTGGGGCGCCTGAGTGGCTCGGTGGGTTGGGTGTCCGACTCTTGGTTTCAGCTCAGGTTGTGATCTCAGGGTCGTGAGATCGAGCCCCATGTCGGGCTCTGTGCTTAGCACAGAGTCGTGCTCTCTCTCTAAAATAAATAAATAAATCTTAAAAAAAAAAAAAAAAATGAGGCAACAGTAGGAGGAGGGTGCTCCAGAGTGACAGCACATGCAAGTGAGAGAGGGGAGACTGTGTCTGGACCCACCTTAGGAATCGCTCACGGGCCACAGTGCCCAAAAAGGACAGAGAGAGAACTCTGGCTAGCAAGATGGTCGGGGCGGGGGGGCGGTGGGGTGGCAGCGAGGAGGAGATGAGAAGCCTGGGTTCCTGAGTCCAGGTTTTCTCAGTTCCACTTAACACGCGCCCCCTTTTTTGGAAAATAGAAAAGCCTTGTGCTTCCTCTAACTATACAGAAAGTTCTAGAGCCAGATTTCCGGAGTTGAAATACCACATCTACCACTTCCTAGATGGGTGACCTGGGGCCTCTCCAGGCCTCAGCTTCCGTTTCTGGATAATACCAACCACCTCATAAGGTTGTCATGAGGTTAAACAAGATATTACGCATAAAATACTTGGTGCCTGGCATAGTTTAAATGCTCCACAAATATTTCAACATTCTGATCAGTATCAATACTGTAAACTGCTGTTCCTAAAAGATCATCTGCCGTGTGCACAGCCGCCCCCACCACAGCCAAGAACTATATTCCCTGTCATATAAAAAGGTTTCTCTTTTGTTTTCCAAATATAAAATATTATTAAATATGTTCTTTCAAGCTCTACACCACCCTTCACCCACGCTACCTCACCCCGAGATCTCACCAGAGATCAGAGATGAGTCAACACCCAAATATATTGGCACGAGATTACCCGGGGCACCCTGGAACTGGGGTGGTGGTTCTGACAGCACAAGGGAGAGGACAGATCAGGCCAGGCTGGTGGAGACAGAAGTGACAACCAACTGCACGTGAGAAGTAAGACACAGGAAGTCAGAGAGGAGCCCGAAGTCTGCAGTCTGGCTGGCGAAGGCAGCAGTAGTGCATCGCAGGGCTCGGGATAAAGGGCAGGTGCACAGGCCAGAGAAAGGAGGCAGCTATGGCCACGGGAAGGGGGAGACCCCCCCCCCGACAGGAGGGGCTGAAACAACTCAACAACAACAACAACCAGATTTTAAATATAAGCAAAGGATTTGAATAGACATTTATGCAGAGAAGATCTACCAATGGACAGTAGGCACAGGAAAAGGTGCTGCACGTCACCCATCATTAGGGAAATGCAACTCAAAACCACAGTGAGAACCACCTCACAGCCATTAAGACGGCTACTAACAACAACAACAAAGTAACAAGTGTTGCCCAGGATGTAGAAAACTGGAACCCCCCCGCCCGCACATGTGTAAAACAGTAGGGCACTTCCCCCAAAAATTAAAAATAGAATTACCATACGACCCAGCAATTCCACTCTGGGGGTATGCCCAAGAGACTGCAAGCAGGGTCTCACAGAGATATCTGCACACATGCTCCCTGCAGCATTATTCACAAATGACAAAGGTAGAAGCGACTCAAGTGTCTGTCCACAGATGGATGGATAAACAAAAAGGGGTATATACATACAGTGGAGTATTATTCGGCCTCCAAGAGGAAGGAAATTCTGACACGTGCCACAACATGGATGAACCTTGAGGACATCATGCTAAGTGAAATAAGGCAGTTTACCAAAAGACAAATATATGATTCTACTTACAAGAGGTAGTAAAGTAATCAAACTCACAGAGACAGAAAGCACAATGGTGATTGTCAGGGGCCGGGGCGGGGGGGGAAATGAGGACGTGTTTAGCGACAGAGTTTCAGTTCCCCAAGATGAGAAGAGTTTTGGAGATCCACTGCACAACACTGTGGATTTACTTAATACTCCTGAACTGGACACTTAAAAACAGTGAAGATGGGGCGCCTGGGTGGCACAGTCGTTGGGCGTCTGCCTTCGACTCAGGTCATGATCCCAGGGTCCTGGGTTTGAGCCCTGCATCGGGCTCCCCGCTCTGCGGGAAGCCTGCTTCTCCCTCCCCCAATCCCCCTGCTTGTGTTCCCACTCTCGCTGTGTCTCTCACCGTCAAATAAATAAAATCTTAAACAAAACAAAACAAAACCAAACCAGTGAGGATGGTAATTCTGGTTATGTGTGTTCTGCCACGATACAAAATTTTTTTTAATATATGGGGAAATCAAAGAGATGGTTGGGGGTGGTGGTTGAAGGGTAGAATTCATGGAGAAGCCTAAATGTGTAGGGTTAGTAAAGGGATCAGCAAAGGTGACTCAGGAAGATAAGCACAGAAGCAGGAAGTGAGTCAGGGTGAGCGGAGCCACAGACACAGAAGGATGGAGGGGTTAGGAGGCAGAGAGGGGTAAGGGCTAAAAAGAAGAGACTAACAGGAAGTGGGAATTGGGATGAGCTGTCTGAAGAGACCAGCTGAAGGTGCCCAACTTAATGAAGAGGAAGGCAGCTGGCATTCTTCTCCTCTTGTCTCTTTCTGGATGGTGTTCTTGTGACAATCGGTTCATTGACCAGGAACATCCAGCATTGCTTAGCTCAATGTTTTAATTTTTTGACTGAGGTGTCATTAGAGTTGTGGTATCTTG